GGGTTCCTCCTCCTCTGACACGCACATCTCAACAACTGGCAGGAGGGAAACCTGACTCCCCCGTACCAAGGAAAGAATCCAAAGATGATGCATCAAAGGACTGCCCTCCTTAATGCTGGTTGTTGCTGTTCGAATTAAATAGGAAAAGTTCAGGGAAGAGAAAGCCTGCATTGTGCTTCTAAAGCTGCATAGGACTACATTTTGCAAATTAGCTCCCTGCCTTGGAATGCAGGTGTCTTTGATAGGTTTTGACTCTGACAGACCTTTGATAAGTGAAATTGCTTATGTTTTATAAGTAGAATAAAACTACATTAAGCAAGTAGAGAAAAAAATCTGAGCCATACTGTATTTAGACTATAGCTGAAGAAATGAATGAGCTAAATAGTTGTTTAGTTAAAAGTCTTCCTTTAATCAGTAAATAAAAATGATTTACAAGAATATCAGTGCACCAGATTAAGCAGTATTGGCCTCTACTTACATGGCAATAAACAATATTTATTAGTTTATTCTTCTTTTAAGAATATACATTGGCCTGTGGACATTATAAGCCTACCCTTAAACAGTCTTGTTTACAATTATTTGTTCAAGTCTTTCCTCCCTCTTATCATACAAAGATCAACATCAGACAGTATACTTCTACCAAATATTCTATGGGAGGCAAATCCTGTAATTAATATCATTAATATCATTCCTGTTTCCTCAATTAAACCAGGATTTTATGAGCACCTACTATGTGCAAGGCACTTTGCAGGCTCTGAAAGTAAGATGAAGTCCTGGCCCTCAGTGAGCTGACAACCTAAGAATGAGGATATGTGTAACAATGGATTCTAATAGCGTAGTGACTGATTAAAGGGTCTCAAAGGATTTCCTCTAGTGAAAAAATTTTAATGGGTTGTACTAATTATTCGTGGAATTTAGTAAGTATTTCTAGAGTGTTAAGGATCCTTGAGAAGCACTTGGCTTCTTTGATTTGTTAAGCACTTCCTTTGTAATATTTATAGTAGTAATTCGTACTTGTTCTGAAGAAAGGACTCGCTGAATGTGGGTAAATTTCTGCTTAAACCTTGTCTGGATTATTCTAAATTCCAAGTTAGGAACTAAAACTCTGTCAAGCAGATTCGCTAATCATTTTATTCCTCCCCTCCTGCGGCTCTCAGCTGCTGAGAGCCTGACTACCATAACCTCACATCCTGAGGCATCCATGGTGCGCAGCTCTGCGCCCACCGTAAAGGACATGAAAAAGTCTCTGTTGCCTTTGTGTCTTCCTCAGAGACCACATTTATGGGAGCTTTAAGTGGTTTCATAGCCTTTCCATTATTTCACCTGGATTTTTAATAGGGCAGAAGGTGGCTTGCTTCAATAATAAATTCTAAAATTTAATTTCAGCTTCTGATGTTCATGGTTGAGTATCTCCTTTTCCATGAGCAGTTTCACAAATCACTCCAGTATATCTCTGCTGAGCCAGACCCAGGGAACAGGACAGGCTGTCAGGCTGCATCACACAAAGAACAGCATTCTCTCTCTGGGCTACCAGGCTCCAGACTGCTCTCTGCAGCATTTAGGGAACCCCTGGGAGTTCTCTAACCATAACACTTCCAATAAGTTCCTGTTTCATGGAGTCAAACGCAGGGGCTTCCTGAAATTCCTTCCTCAAATTCTTTTCCCCACTACTCAGCCAAAACCTCATTTATTATTTTAAAGTGTTTTGAGGATGAGGGTGAAACCCCATTTGTTCACATGGTTTTATTGGAATCTGTGGGCTATGATGATACCCCTTGTTTTTAGATACTCTTTCCAACATGCACTATTCTCTTTAAGGATATAGTAAGTGACCCACTTCCCCGAGTCTTCACTTATATGGATATTTAAGACGTTGAAAGAATATATTAGACCACGAAGTAACCAAGAAATCAATCAAGAAGAACCAATTTAGCTCTTGAGGACCCACCTCCTTCAATTCCTGAAACACCTAAGTTGTTGGAGGACATGAGTGAGTGAATAGCTATTTTTTCCCAAACCCCACGGAGAAGGGCTCCAACGTGTATCTTGGAAAACCTAAGTATTCCAGCTCCTGCAGTAACTCACACTTGGAGAGTCATTTTTTAAGGCTCTGGGAAGAATTTCTCTGGCTTTCTCTAATGTGAATCTGAACTCTCTCAAGAGAGGGCTGCTTCCACAGACAGACGTCCAGGGAGAAGGCAGCCTTCATAGAGAACACACTGCTGAATGCTGTAAGAGTATTGGAACGGACCTCTAAGAAGTCACAAATTCAAGAGTACTTTTGACTTAGGGACAGGGGAGGAGTGGAGATCAAGGATCAAGTTAAGAGAAAAGAAAGCTTACATCCCAGGTTTAAATCTGCACAGATACGTACACACAGAGGACTGGGTGGATTTATTTTTAAAGTGCCATGCCAGGAAATTGCACACCCTGGGGACCGCTGGGTGTATCTCCTCTACTGTCTTGTGCAGGCCACCCAAGGGTCGCGTCTGCTGCTTGCTGTCCTCTTTACGTCTTGTCAGCCTCCCGCTGTGTAAGCCTCACCCCTCAACCCAGCTCCACCTCTGACCAGCAAACCTAAGTAGCTCCCCATCAGACTTGCCACCATTAAAATTAAAGAAAGGAGACTAGATTTTCTTTCCATCTCAGGCCTTTTTGACAGTCTGAGCTCTGCTCCCACCCCCTCATAGAGGACAGTCTGATCCCTGGCTCGTAGCAGGACAGTCTTGAGTCAAGATAAGCTTCTGACCCACAGCTACACCCATTATGAAGCTGGTGCTAAATGCCAAAGCTGTTCTCCCCACTGTCGGATTTTCTCGTCTCAAAATAGAGGTGATACTGAAAAGGTTTTGATCCCAGTGAAGGAGTTTTCTGACAAAACCCAGCTACCCAGGTGCTCGAAGTGGAGTTTAATACTGTGAGACAGATTTTTGGGTAGGTCCAGGCACCTGCCATGACCAGCAAATGTCAAGTCTCCAAAGCAGCCCTTCAGAGATGCCTGTGCCTACTGTCCTAACACTGTGATCTCTAGTCCAGTATCTCAGCAGCGTTCGTTTTAAACTAAAGTACTCAAAACCCCTCATTTCTAGTGGAAGAAATAGTGACTCCGTAAGGCCAGATTTTCATTATGGGGGAACTCTGCTTATAGCCTTGCTCAGAGATAGGGTTACCCTGATGTCCTGTTCTGACAGAGACCTGCCAGTGTTTCTTTTTAACTGAACTCCCTCAGTCAGGACCAAAGATGAAATTATATAATGCCTCACTCCAGGCTTGAATTATATACTCTAATTGTAGCGAAATCTGTAAACATTGAGAATCACACATTCTTGAATGTGCTGTTTGGGTTCAAAAAAATTTTAATAGAACAACAAACGGTTAGCCTGGACTAAACAGCTGTTAACTACAACGTGGCTCAGACATGTGCTTTGAGAATAGCCTATGGTTTTAGCATTTGCTCTCCATCACATAGCGACCTTGGCTTCATCAGGACCCTGGATTCTAGGATTGAACACACTCACTCATCACACGTGGGCATTAAGTCTGCCCAGCACAGCATGGCACTCTCTGTTTTTCACATTTTACCATAGTTTCTGCCACAGCCTTCACAGCAGTTTTTTTCACCATGTTCTGGGCTCTTTTATTTGACCTCTGGCACGAGGTTTCCTAACACATGTATCTTTCAAGCCCAATAAAGGCCACGTTTAGAACCAAGTGAGAGCCTTCTCTGTGTGAAACTAAAGCCGCTTGATGGTTTTTGTGCAAAATTACTTGCATCTTGGCAGGGCTAAATGGTAAACTCAATTAATAAATCCTGAAATTGAATTTCCACTTTTGACACTCCTTGTTAAGCGTGAGTTCCTTACCGCAGAGAGGCTCGACTTTCCGTTTAACCTCCAGTTGATGGTCCTCACTCTTAAGTCTCCCTCCCCTCAGACACACATCGACCTCTGAAATCACCCCAGGGAGCATAGTGGGAAAGCCATGCCAAGAACTGTTCCATCCTGCACATTGAAGCCATGGGTACGCAGCAGTATGGGGAGAGCAAGTTAGGCAGTGAGATGGGGAGATTATCTGTGCATCGTGGCAGAGAGTGGTCAGGCCTCAGAGTGCCTGAGGTGCGTGGATTGACTTCTTCTGATAACAGTAACTTCATAGCCCCTGCAGCTCACACTGTGTGGAGCTGGAAGAACGCAGCTTGGGCGTGGCTGGGAGCAGTTACCACATCTCCTGGGGCCTGTCTCATGGAGATCGTTGCCTTAGATAGTCCAGAATTTCTAGTCCCTGTCTTCATGTAGGTGAAGGACTGTAGCCCATGAGCTGAAATAGACACAGACCAGAGACAGCAGCTCAGGTCGGTTTGAGAGCACAGCCCTGGGACAGACAGGGGAGTGCAGCAGCATAGCACAGGCAGAAACTGGCTGCATTCTTTCCAGCTTTATTTTTTTCTTCCAGAGAACAATTACAGCCAGCAAGTCAACTGTGAACTTTGAATATAAGTAAGCACATTGTCAGAGGTGAAGAGAACTTTAAGAATTTATGAGATTATTAGAGAAAACAGGAATAGAAACATGGGCACACCATGTCTTTGAGAATTTTTCAAAATTTGGAAATGATTACTGTGACTGATTCTCAAATGACAACTGATCTCACTGAAACACTATCGTTATGGGAAAAGTCTGCAGTAATTCTAATGTTACTATTTCAGTGTTTTTTTTTAATGTTTCTGACTCCCTAAAAGCACCTCAGGATGCCCTCAAAATTTTGGAGGGAAAAAATCTACTTTTGGAATACACATGTAGCTCAGTCTCACTAATTTCACTTGCTGCATGCTCAACAGGGTCAGCTTTACTCAAAGTCTTTATTCTTACTGCCTAGATAATTGTTATTCAGCTGCTCTAAACATACTAAGCAATCTTGATTCTAACAGTAATACTTTATCTGTGTCACTGGTTCTGTTAATTCTAATGATTGGTCCTAGGCTGTTCCTCCCCTTCCTTTAGGAATGGTACCTTCCAGTCTCTCCATGTGCATGAAAAGTGACAAGCATGGGTCCCCATATTTCTACTTATTGGGCCACCCTAAAGACACGGTTTGTAAAATCTGCATGAATATTATCTTTCTCTAATGAGCTTTGGTTTTGCATATGTTTTTAACTGATGTATCATGCTCTCTCTTTCCAAGTAGCTTATCTAATTACTGCTAGAGCTTAGGAAAATATTTATAGCTGAGACCTTATAAGTGGCAAGGATAGGATTTGTGGGTTCATGAAAATTTGAGATGCACCAAATTCCAGGAGTCCTGCCTGGAGTGGTCCCAGCAGGAAGGAAGGAAGGAAGGAAAGAGGGAGGGAGGGAGGGAGGGGGAGGGCGTGTGCAGCAGAGGCAGCCCTAGCCGAGTTCTGCCCCACACACCTCACAGAGTCCTTCTTGGGTGTCAGTGCAAAAAAACAACGCATTTCCTCTCAGCCCCAGTTCAACCACCCTTTCTGCACTAGACAGCGTGCCACAGTCGCCAGACACCTTAGCCTTAGGAACCCAGGCTCCTGCCTGCTTTGTAGCCGTCACTCAGGCAGGACTGGGTCTTCTAACTCTCCTCCCTCCACACTCAGTGACACACCACCTTGAAGAGGGAAAAAAATAGGACTTTTATGAAAGTAGTCGTGAGTTTGTATCTATCCACCACTATTTCAAAATAAACATTCTCAAGTGTTGGCTGCATTTTAGCCTAACATTTGGTAAATATTCTTAGGGAACAGAAGTGTCCTGTGTATATATAAATAAAGCAGGATATAGAGGACGGCCTTGCAAATATGGTTCAAGCAACTTTTCACCCCTCAGCTACATTCCTTGACCAGCCCACGTTTCCACTGTCAACTCCTACAGTGGGTCTGTGACTCCTGGGATTCTAAAATGTCAGTTTGACTCTTCAGCAGAAACTGCTGTGCATGCTCAGTCCCCACGGTGAGCCATGGGAGCGGGAATCAGACTGACGCCCTTCTCAGTTCTGACTTGATTCTGCCCCGTCTGCACTGTTGCATCTGTGGCCAAGCATCCATCCACCAAACTCTTTTAAGTTGGCCCTCTGATTTCTTCTGAGATATATTTTTCTGTTGTTAGTGAGCCTGCTAGTTGCCAGCCAGAACTGGCTTAAATTGAACATGAAAGGTGATAACTACTCACTAAGTGAATTGTTGAATTGGCCTGCTGTTGAACAGTTCCTTATCAAATGTGTTTATGCTGATATGTGTCTATACACACAGACACCATCACAGTCATTCCTTGAGGATGTCTACAAAAATGCAAGTTTTAAATGAATCGTTTCTCTAAAGTGTCTATCTCTCAAGGATAAGTTATTGTCAGGAGAAACCTAAACTAGGGCGTGAAGAAGATAGTAACAATGTACTGAAAAGGTCAAAAGCCATGAAATAATTATTGGGAAAATCTAGTCCAGTGACCATAGTTTAAGGAGGTACAGATTTCTATTTCTGACAAAAGAAAAGTATACGCTTGCCTTGTACTTTGCTTTAACTAGTCTGTAATCCATGGAGGTGAAGGGACCTGAATCAATTAATTAGAATCATTCGCTTAAAAGCTAAAAAAAAAATGCAAAAAGCTGGCGAGCTCTTTATGGTCTCGGTTCAGTTCAGGCACCTTGCTCGGAGCTCAGGGGATAAAGGTGGGTACGAGTCTGTACACGCGTTCCCAGCGGGGAGGGCGGGGTGACGGGGAAAGTCAGATAGTGGGACAAGTATGAGTAGTATCAGCAAAGGGGTGATGAAAGCCCACAGGCACAGGTCCCTAAATCTGCTGAGCGGAGTTGTAGAAGATTCGACCCCACCTAAGAGGTGACATTTAAGCTGGGCCTTGAGTGACAAGTGTGATTTCATCTGTGTGGCACAGCGGGAGGTAATGCAGCTATCACACGGTCTAACCGGGAAAGGGGAGGGGCAGTGAAAGAAAGGTGGGGCCGTGAAAAGAGCCTTCTATGCCAAGCAAAGGAATTTAAATTTGGTATAATCAGATGTCATCAAGAAATTAAGTGGGAGGGTGACAATATTTGTATTTGGAACTCTACCTCAATAGTATTTGAGACAGCTTTTATAGGAGACTGGGAGCCGTTCAATGGTTGTTGTAAGAGTTGAAGCACAAGGTGTGAGGACCAGAGTTAGGAAAGTAGGGGTGGAAACAGCACATTGGGAATAGATTTGGAGACATTTCAGACATTTCATTGACAAAGGTAACAAAACTTGGCGAATAATGAACATGAAGGCAAGGGTCAGGGAGCAGGAGGGTGGCCCTGGGTTAGGGGGAAGATGACACCACACGCGGGAAGGAGCAGGCTGAGGAAGAAAGATAATGAGGTTCGCTTTGGACTTGAGTTTCCGGTGCCTGAAGGACATTTAAGTGAAGCAGCTGCCACACATGGGCTGGGATGAGCTGCTCAAGAGCACTTTGAAAGTCCTGGGAAGACTGCTAGAACCGTTAGGGGGGACGAGCTCTCCCCGAGGGGCCCCGCCACGTACAGAGAGGAGAGTCCGTGGGACATGGTCACCTTTGAGCGGCGAGTGAGGAGTGTGGGTGAACACTGTCAGGAGAGGGCAGTCTGAGAGGCAGGATCACTTCCAGAAGAGGAGAGATGGAAGCCAGGGAGAGGGCTCGGGGGGCTGCAGGGAGAAGGACCTCTGCCCTGAAATGGGCTGGGAAGGGGGCTAAGAAAGGAGGGGAGAGGGGCAGGGCCTAGAGCCACTGTCCTGCCTGGTTTAGCACAACGCCAGGTGCACAGCACTCAGTTAACAGTGGTATTGTGAGGCTTATGGGTGGGAAATGGCTTCACCTGCTCCTCTGCAGGGCCCTCCCCGGAGGAGGCCCTCCTACTTCCCGCCCTGCACTCTGGGCCACGTGGAAATCCACCCAGAGAGACCTCAGATGATGAGAGCACCTGCTTAGATCGAGTCGTGGGGTTAGGGCCTGGCTTTTCCAGTTTGATTTTTCAGAGGGCAGGAGTGGGTAGAGTATAAAGACAGATAAGACACCATTTCTGCCCTAGAGGAACTCTGTATGTAGGGAATGTTTAAGAAAAACAGAGTGCTCACTGTTTGCAAAAAATACTCTTTAATCACACTCTTACTGAAATCATTCTCAAATACATGGTGTTACATTCTTGGATTGATGTACAGAGTATCCTGAACTTGGGCATGCTCTGTTGAATTTATTTCCCTTTTCCTTTGACACATTTACTCTTTGAAATCTGGATTCCATCATTAAGACTCCAGTGAAAAGTGATCCCTCCATGATCACCAGTGTAACCATGGTGACAAAATCCAGTGACTGATTCACCCCCTCATCCCCTAAGGACTCCCTGTAAGCTAACTGTTAGTCGGTGTATTAACTGCATTTTCTCCTTCCTCTCTGCTTGCACCTACGGGGTTTCCTTCACCTCCTTCCCCATCCCCTCCCTCAGGATCTCTTCTGCACTCAGGGTTCCACCTGTCACCACTGTGCAGTTTTTGCCATCTCTGAATTCAGTCCCAAGACTTCCAGCTGCTGCCTAGACACTGCTGTCCAGATACCCAGCATTCATACATTCAAAATCATGTTCATGATCTTTCCTCCTAAACCACTCCTCTTGAATCACCTGTTAATGAAGGAACCATCAGCCCTCCTTATCGCCCATCTCAAGATCACCTAGAGTGCCTTCCCTAGTCTTATACATACAGCCAGCTCCTAGGTTTGAAGGGTTTCACTTCTCGTTTCTCACAAGGGCCCTCTCCTCCATTCCTCTTGTCATTCTAGTCCAGTTCAGGTCCACTCGACAGGGATAAAGAGTCTCCAACTGTTTTCCCTGCTGCCGTGGCCAGTCCTCCCTGCTCACTGATGCCAGAGCAATTGATTGTCTAAAAGGACTGCCCAACTGGAAGGTTTCTCTCTCTCAAAACAAAACAACCCCTTAAATGAGTCCCCAGAGCCTCTTGATTTGGCCCCATCCAACTCAGTCTTTTCTCTCCCATGTATCCTATTACGTTATCTGTGCTACAGCTGTGCTGGGACACTTGCTGTTGTCCTGTCTTTCCACCTTCGTGGTTGGGCACATGCTGATCCCGGGGCTTGGAAAACCCTTTCCCCAAATCATGTCCTCCTTCAGAAACCAGGTGGAGGGCTGCCTTCCCCAGGTCCACCAGCCAGAAGTGATCTCTCAATCGTCTGAAGTCCCATAGCCCTTTGTATGTCTCCCCTCCACTTTCACTCTCTGTTTTGCAACACGGTTATCAATGCCCACGTACTTTCCCCCTTTTTATGGAATTCAAACACTGGTTATTACTCTGGGTTCTTAATACAGTGCTTTACAGAGAGGGTGAACAAGTAAGTGGACGAATGAATAGAAGTCTTACAGTATCACTAGGTCATCATTCTGATAGAAAATTTCAACATAGGCTTTTATTGAGATTGTTGCAGAAGGCATAGGAAGATGGCCCCAATTTCCACTGACCATCTCAACCTAATTCAGAAGCAGGTGTTTGTATTTAATAAATTCCTGCCTATGTGCTTATTTGCCTATAATGTATTACTTTCTGTTACGAGATGATGGGAGAAAACTGGCTAACTGACTGCTCTAGATCATTGTTTATGGTTAAGTTTTATTGTTTCTGTAAGGTGTTTTCTCTTAAAGTGTAATCATGACCTTTGTCAGTCTAGCTACTCATTAGAATCACCTGGAGAACTTGCTTTTAGAAAACACCTGCAGAGGCTCCTCCCCAAACCAATTAAACCAGAAAGGTGCCGGGAGCGGAGCGAAGGTGGTGGTAGGTACGCTGCTTTTTTTTGTCTTTTAAAAAATGTGCCCTGGTCGGTGTACTGAGCAGTCAAAGTTGATTCCAGTAGATCAGATAAGAAGGTAAATCAGATAGGGAGGCTATTACATTAACTTGGGAAATTCAGGGGTGGGGTAATGAGGTGCTGAAAACTAGCAGAAGTGAAATACAGGAGAAGTGACAACACTGAGAATCTTGAAACAAAAATCGTTAAGACTTGGTGACAGATGGTGTAAATGGAATAAGAATTAGGGAGATGCAAAAATTATCCCCAGGTAAGA